AAGCATAAGAGGTGGGATAGCATCACTCTTACGTGTTCTTCTCTTGATATATGAGAAGAGTCTTTTTGGGCAGCCTGGTGAACTTTTAACTAACTGGGTTTCGTAAGCTATCCTTGACTGGTGGATCAAAGTTTTACACTGGTTTCTGGTTTCACAGTATTTCAGCCGGAACTGCTGTAGCCCAGTAGAAACAAAGAGATTCCAGAACCTTTTTCTCCGTCTCAGGAGTGTTATAGCTTGTCTATTTATCCATGGTGGCCGATTTGTTGGCCTTTTAGGAACCCTCCAGGGGATGAGATCAGTGGTAACCCTCTCAAGTGTATTCTTAAATCTATCCCATTCATCTTCAATGGATGAGACAATGTTGACTGACCAGTCGGCAGTTGAAGCACGCTCCTTTATAGCCACTATGTCAGCATGCCAAACACTAGGCCGGGATTTGGGTTGAAAACTGACTAAATTGCCAGCCCTTAAGTTAAAATCTAACACCCCATGATCACTGTTTGCTAGAGGTGGATGAATAACTAGACCATCCACGTCGTCGTTGTCATGAGTAAGCACTAAGTCCAGCAAGGAAGATCCTTGGGTAGAACCGAATCTTGTACTACCTAAGACATGTTGTGTCAGGGCATTTTCCATGGTTGTCAAGAGTAACCGGCTGTCAAACTTATCAGCGGATCCTGGAGATGTGACAGCTACCCAGTCTATATGAGGTGCATTAAAATCACCTAGAATAAGACAGCTACTGTGTTTACTCCATTGTTTGAGGTGATCTAAAATGAAGTCATCACACTGACAATAGGGACTTCTATACAGAACTCCAATGAGTAGAGTGCCGGTTGCAAAGCTTACTTCACAGCTAATTACCTCACCTGTCCCACTGTCATGAGCTTCAGATTTCACGGAACGAACATGTAGGGAGTTGTTGATGTACAGAGCAACCCCGCCACCTCTACGACCCTTAACCTGTCGCTGCGCAAGCAACTAAATCCGCATAGCTCAGGTGTGTCATCTAATCCAGAAACCAGCCATGTTTCAGTAATGGCCACAATACCTGGGCTAAGCATACGTTTCCGAGACCTGACTATTTGAAAACCCACCAGTTTAAGGTTAGTCTCACCATTTTTACGTCTTGTTTCTAGCTGGGACAAAACTTCTTTTCGTTTTAGTCTGTCTTCAAGAGATAAATCAGGTCTGGCTGAAATTCCTGACCCGGCAAGGTTGTGTACATTAGCCAGTAGATGATTCCGTTCATCAGGAGAACCTAAGACTACTTTAAGCAACCTACGCTGATTACAACATTCATCATCTCTTTTGCCTATTCTAATCAGCTTTTTAATCGATACTCCAGGGAAATTCGCTGGGAGCATCTTCCTTATAATACTACTCACTAATTTAAGGTCGTGATCGTGCCTTTTCACGGGATCAGATTCTTTGGACTCTTCCGAATTTCCAACAATTATGTTAGAGTCTAAGGAGTGCTTGTCGTATTTAGCAGTGGCTACGTCCTTTCTCACCACTATTGATGCAGCCTGGCTACAGGTGACAGACGTTTGCCTACCATCAATATTACTATATTTCTTCCGACTGCTTATTTTTGTTACCCATTTACCATCTACCTGCAGTTGCTTCTCAGAGCTGCTGCAGTTTTTGATGGTACAATCAAGATCAGTGTCTGCACCACCTTCATGGTGAACTTCGCTTACGGTGTTCTCTCGTGCTGAGATGCTGTTTGCAGCTTCCATTTTGTTACCTTTTCGCTTACTAAGACGCTTCGAACGCCTAGTAGGTTTTACTTCCGGGGTAACTGGGATAGTAACCGCCGGTGTGATAACATTCATGAGGGCACTTACTGCGTCATCTTCAGACGGGCAGTCCGTGTCACTCTTACTAGCCACGCTATCATCAGGAAGTTCCATAGCTTTAGACAGCAGTTCGTGAGCCTCCTTTATTAAGGTCATCTTTGGGGAGCAACACATTCTGCACATCCAGTGGGATGTTGGAGCAGTACAACGTTTGTATGCAGCTGGACGTAATCCAGTACACATCTTATGATACCACTTTTCACAGTTATTACACTGTATTCCATCATCTACCAAAACGTAACACTCCGCCCTATTACATTTATGTGGTACTTTTGACATAATGAACTTCTACTGGAAACAGCCAAGACAATTTACCCAATATAGACTATATAAGTGATTAAAATCAAAACTTAACAGACAAAAGTCAAGTTAAAGTTTTTTTTAAAATGTTCTTGAAGTGAATAACACAACAAACAGCGATTTGTCAAAAACGTGAAATACATGAAAAAAGCACTCCCTTTCAAACAGCGCGCGCTACTATCGATTCGACTTATTCTATTCCTATTCTCTGTAGGGTACGGTTGTGCACCAAATGCACAAAAGGGTATAAAATAAAAAAACCGGCATGAAGATAAATGTATTAAAACCAAAAGCGGACATCATAATAGTACGAACTATATGGGTAGCATCATACATTCTCTTTTGACTATCACGTGCTAGCTCTTTTCCAACCTGATTGGTCTTATGTCATTGGCTAACATTGCCTGTTGTCGAAAAAGGCGATGGCTGGACATGCATGCGTAACACCTGTTGTCCTAACCACCTCATTCAATTGATGTAACGTCACGACCTCGTTGATTGATTTTCCCTCCTTACCTAGCACTCAACCGATACCTCTCCTCAATATTGCTCGCCCTATTATACCACTTCACACGGGTGAAAGCACACAGTCACCTATGATCAAAGACAGCTAACCAGGCTTTTTATGCCTCCCACTTTCAGTGGCCAGGTTTCACAGCCATAATGGAGGAGAGAGAAAACTGCTGAGCACTACACACTTTTTTTGGTGATTAGCCCGATATCATGTCTATGCCAGAGGCGGCGTAAACTAGCATATGCGGAACGAGCCTTCTTTATCCGTGCAGAGATTTCGTCAGCGATCCACCCGAGGTTCTATGACGATGTCCGTCTGTAAAGGGAGTGCCGAAGAAATACATTGCGCTCTACTCGAATTCATGTGGCCAGATAAGAGCTAAAGGCAAGTGATAACTAGTAGGGTCCGTTAGGGATGCCCACTGTCCCCATTTCCATTTAATTTTATCACAGATTTACTAATGGAATTAACCCTAACTGCTGACTTCAACTACCAAGGGATTGACTTGGTACCACCAGACAGTTTACTGTCTGTACTAACTGAAGTACTAGGCAACATCTGGGAATCAGAGTAAGTCCCATCGGATTGGTGTAAGTCACTGATTATCCCCATACACAAGAAGGGAGAGAAGTCTTCCTTTGATAATCATAGAGGGATTAGCTTGACTAATATAGTATCTAAAGCCCAAGGCTCAATAATATTGCGAAGACTAAGTGAAGCTCGTGAGGCACAAACACGAGAGAACCAGGCAGTATTTAGACCAGGAAGAGAGTGTATTGATCATATCCTCACCCTTCGCCTACCGGCGTCCAACAACCATTATATTACTTGACTTAAAGGCGGAATTCAATTCTGTCAACCGAGAGGTACTCTGTCGATGCTTAGCTGTAAAGGGAATTCCGAGAAAATACATTGCACTGATCAGAACACGCTACTGGTACTCATGCAGCCAGGTGAGGGCTTACGGCCAGTTGTCATCTGAAGTGGTGACAACTAGTGGTGTCCGTCAAGGAGGCCCATTATCCCCATTTCAATTCAACTTCATCAAAGATGTACTGATGGATTTAACCTTAACTCACTTCAGAGACACAGAGACTGACTTGCTACCAGGAAATAATCTTGTTGACTTAGAATATGCAGACGATATAGTCCTTCTAGGCGAGGACGCTGACAAAATGTAGAGTCTTCTGAACACCTTGAGCTGCAATCTACGAATGTTTGACATGAGATTTGATCGCGCCAAATGCAAGATGATGTTACAGGACTGGACCACACTGAATCCTAGTTTAGAAATAGGGAGTGAAGTGGTAGAGCACGTTGACCACTTCACTTATTTGGGAAGTACCATCAGCCAGTGCTGACGGGTTGATCTCTGACGAAATCTCAGCACGGACACAGAGGGCTAGTTTCGCAAATGCCAGTTTACGCTGTCTCTGGCGTAAACGTGATATCCGGCTAGCTGTCGACCAGTGGGCGTGTTTACTGCTCAGGAGTCCGCTCCGCCCTCCTTTATGGCTGTGAGACCTGGCCATTGAAAGTGGAAGACATGAAAATATTAACTGTCTTAGATCATAGGTGCCTGCTCTTTATCTCCTGTGTGAAGTGGTATAATTAGGTGGGCAATATTGAGGTTAGACGCCGAGTTCTAGGTAGGTGGCAGGGGAAATCAATCGACGAGGCTGTTCGACTATATCAACTGAGATGTTTAGGACATGTGTTACGTATGCCTAGTCATCGCCTTCCTCGATAACAGGCCATGTTACCTGACATAGGGTCAGGCTGGAAAAAAGCTAGCACCTGGCGGTCAAAACTAAAAATGGCACCAGTCAATCAAATCCACAACAGTTAGTTTAAGCCAGCCACGTAGGAAGGTGTAGACTTCCTGACGGGTTGGGGTCCTCGGAACGGTAAAAACAATGGTTGTAAACAATTGGTGATATGGCTCAAAATCCTTCTCAATGGCTGGCTCAGATGCATCCACTTCTTGTGACATATGATTTCCAATGAAACTGTTTTTGTTCTTTGTTATTACTCCTCCTCTGTCTCACACCTCTGTCTACTGTCTCCAATATGCATTTCTTCTATTTTCTTCTCTTGTTTTGTGTGCTACATGAAGAGTGGCGACTCGAACTGTCGCACATTGGTGCAAAGTTCTATGTTGAAAACAGACAGACAAGCAGACGATGGATGAATATCATTGACTTATAATATGCAGATGCTATAGTCCTGCTCCTAGGTGGTGAAGACGCTGACAAAATGCAAAGTCTTCTGAACATCTTGAGCTGTAATGTATGTATACATATATATAGAATGTAACAAATAACAGTTCTCCAACTGTATTTACTTTATTAGACATTAATAATTGTAGTATTTATTTTCAAGACATAAAAAAGGGGAAACACAATAATTAATTATACAAAAGAAGCATAACAAAACTAACCACCACCAACAAAAAAAAAATTTTCTTCAGCAGCTACAAAACAGAATCGATATACTGAACAAATTTTCCACAAACCCACAACCATTCAGATACACACTTAGAGTTAATACGTATTGCATTATGTATGTGTATATATGCATAAATATAACACAGTGATATTGAAGCACTCATAATTACATAACAAAACAGGAGAGCAATACACACACACACACACAAAGAAAACTAAAACCAGAATGTGTTCCATTGATATATGCAAAGACAAAAAATACAATGAAATCTCAACCAAAACAAAAGTGAGTGAACATGTGTGTTGGGAAAAGAGGCAAGTTAGAGATTGAAAGGATGAATATGACGGTGAACAGTCTCGTTTATAAAAACTCAAGCATAGTAACCCTGAGAGGTGAGTTTCTCCTCTCCCTTATGTCTCTCTCACTCTCTTTTCATGACCTGCTGTAGTCTCAGTGCATACAAGAGACATACAAAATGAACCAAAGAATAGGTTATAATGAAAGAATAAAACAGGGGAGCTGGTTGACGAAAAAGAAAGATCGTATCAGTTAATTATATTCTGATGTGCATTCATTGTACTGGTATCCTGATGTCTACACAAGTTGATTTATATTATTCTAAGAATTCATATATATATATATATATATATACTGTAGAACAATGAATAAATTTGAAAAATAAAATGAAAAAATAACAGTTTTGAATTTGAATGAACTCTAGTCGAGTTATCTTTCAACTCATCTTATCTCATCTCATTACATTTGATCTTATTCATGGTGATTTGTTTTCTTTGTATTTCTTTACATTTGTTTTGTTGGAACAATTCGTAAAAGTTTTTGTAAACCAACAGTTAATGCCGCTGTAATAAGGAAGAAAACGAAGCAGAAGAGTTTACAAAAAAAAAGGGATTAAAAACTGGAAAGTATTTTTCAAAATTTTTATTGAAATTCATACTATCAAGATTGATCACGAATTGGTTATATGCATAGTTAGAGTACTATCAAAAATCAGGTAGCGAGTACTGGACAGCTATTACGTCCTATTTTGAGATTCATGGCTTCACCGACAGGCATGGAAGCCAGGAGATTCAGGTTACACGGTGAACTCGTTGACTATTTAGCCACTAGGATGGATGGATCCAGATGGGGACAATAATAATCTTCAAATCAATCAATTCCATGAAATGTCACACATATGAATCATATTTTAGCTCTACCAATTTTTCATTTTGTCTATGAAGTTTGTATTCTCTTCCTTTAGTACGCCAATTGCTAGTTAGTTTTACTATTCTCACTTTGAACTGTCCCCGGTATTACTTCACTTCTTCCACTTGTCATTCTAAATCAATTCTTCTGTTTTACAACGATAAATTCTATGCTATTAAATTTCACACAATATTACGTAACGTTTTTTGTTTTATTCGATTTGTCTACTAATCCTATAATTGCATACCCTTTTTCAAGTTCTATCCATCCTATGAATTATTTTATGTATGACATTAATTTGCTTTGCCACTTGACATTTAACTATGATTACAAACATTTTAGTTTTAATTGAACTTCATATGATTATTATTATTATTATTTTATGCATTCACACCTAAGATTCAATTCCCTCACCGGATATAACTTCTTAAAAACCAGCTGTATATACGACTGTACAGCTTGATGATAAATTCGTTGTTGAAAAGAGTCTCTTCGCTAAATTACTTGTTTTGATTTTTTGTAATTATATTAAACAAAGAAATCTTCAGACCAATCAGACGCTGGTAAACTTTGTCGTCGAAAAATTGTATTACACAATGTAAGGTGTAGGAAGGGATGACTAATTGTAAGTTGGAAAAGAGATAGAAGTTGGCATGACGTAATAAGCGTGAGATTCTCTGGCCAGAGTAAAGTTCTTACTACAATTTCGCTGCTTTCTTTTATTATATCAGTTCACTATTATTATTAATGCTATTATTTTAATATCATTATTATTCGCATTATCCATATTTTATTACCACTGTATTACTGTTTATTAATAACATTGCTTTTTCATACCGACTTTATATAAAACACTATCGCCTTTCTAATTGTTCTTGTCCATTCTACACGAGCTTACTGATTAGTCATTATCTCACACTTATTACGTCATGCCTAATTCTGTCTCTTTTCCAACTTGCAATCAGTCATCCCTTCTTACACCTTACACTATGCAATACAATTTTTCGACGAAAAAGTTTACCAGTATCTGATTGGTCTAAAGATTTCTTTGTTTAATATAATTACGATTGTACAGCTCATGAAAATGAATCGTCAAAAAGAAAATTTTCTCCGTTGTTTGTGCCTTTATCATATGTGTATTGATCACAACTTCCCTACTGACTGACCACAGGATGAATTTGCTTGAAGTACCGGAGTCTACTGAGGACAGATAATCGTCAATGATAATGATTCGCTGTCACACTATATACGGCGAACCGACAGAAGTTACAGTTGACGTGGGTCATTGGGTTCTATTCCAGTAGCTGAATGGTTAGGAAACTTGTCTTGTAACCTGACTGCTCTTGGTTCTCTCTTTAGCTACAGCGTTATGGCTGCGTGCTCTTGAAGAGTAGCAAACAAGGACGAAACAGCTGTGCTATATTCACTACCTAGTTTTCAATGGTCCTTTAAACGTAAAGCCGGTTGTTTATCAGTTGTGATAGCTTCACACCACCATGTACATCTCGAGTACATCTTGGCAACCAGTCTAAGTTTATTAATTTTCCTAAACTTTCCATTCCTGACTTTTAAATTTTGTTAAAGATTTTTAGAAGGATAAGAGAAGTTTATTTCACTATTGATTGATTTCACATATTTAACAGAACCGATATGCACGGTCTCTGTTTTCATGACGGTATCTAGTTCTGTAGCTTAGAATGATGTTATATTTGATTGACAGTGGAGACTAGCAGTGAAATCCAAGACTGACGTTTACTCTTCTTTTGGATTTATCAGCTGCGGACATACTTGTATTCCTATTTTGAACGATTGTGTTTCTACTAAAACCTGTAATACTCTTAGCATTGATTGTTTGAAATCTGTTACACAAAAGGTGGCATTTATAACTCACTGGCTTATTAGGAACTCTATCAGTCGCTAGAGGGAATGTACATTGATCCTGTTAACATGAGTTGGATGAAATGCGCCTCCTTGATTCCGCTACTAGCCACTATGAACTAGACAAAAGAGGGAGTGATTACCTACTCTCCAGAATATAATTGGTCCTCATGTATCATGTATCTTGTGCTTAACGATACAGTTGCATTCCAGTAATTTTAAGAAAGATTCAGTTATCATGGTTACAGGAATTTATCATGAGCTGATATCGATTAGAGAACCATTGAAAACAAACAGGGAATAATGGTCAGCCATTTAGTCCTAGTTTTGAATTACTCAGCAGTGAGCATCCACCATCAGGGTTCAAACCGAGGACCTTGTGGTTACAAGGCGAACTAGCTCGTAGACCATTAAGTCACTGGGACCTGATCTAATGGCCAGTACATGAAATCCAAGATCTGACAATTCATGATATAGCTCGACCACTAGCCAATGTCAGCTCTGGCGAGTATTTGTCCTCACACCCAACCTGCTGCCCCTTACTAGTCACGACTTCCCATTGAGACCCCAGGTAACTAACTACTTGAATATGGCCAGCCGCTAGTCAACATCTCATTGATATTCAAGGATTGGTTTGTAGGGATTTGAATGATTGGTTACAGGATTTCAATTGTCATGATTTGTAGGGGTTTAGAAGTTTTGGGGTATTTCAAGTGTACGCATAGTAAATTCAACACACAATATTCTAAATATTTATCGATTATAACATTAAGCACTTTGATTAGACTTCTAGCCATTTTGTAAAGTGTATGTTGAGGCTGAGGGTGGCAGCGGGGGTGGATGGGTGGAATTACACTAAACTACTAAATGCACTTCTCCACAGACTTTCCTGTTTTCGCTTTTCTTTACAGTTTTACAATATAAATATTAATTTTTTCGGCATTTCTCTTTTTTACTTGAGAAGCAGTGCACTGCACTACAGTGCATTTTTCTCATATTGATGATATCAGTTAATAAATTAATTATTTGCTCAATATTTGTTGCTGGACTAAATAATTTTCATAGTCTTCATATTGTAAATTGGCTGAAAACTGAATTGGTATGCGTAATAATATTGTGTTCAACGGATTTTGATTTAAACTGATTAAAAATGCCCATTAAAATATTTTCATAAAGATGTTTACTGAACAGAGAATATATTCACATTTTCGATAACCTGCTCTTCATCAGGTTCTACAGATATATGTATACACACTGGGTCATTATTATTTATTATTATTGCTTCTTTGGGTTCCTAGTGGAAAATACAGCTTCAACTGCATGTCTCCACTTGCTTCTGTCTTCCTTTTGCTGTACTTTTCACCTGCATCCATGTTAGTCCATACTCTTTCAACTCCTCCTCTTCACACGATCTCCTCCATGTCACCCTTGCACTGACGTCCCACTCACCGCTTCCCTTTCGGCTTACACTCGAGGGCTTGACGCGCGATGTAACCCAGCGGTCTCCCAAGCCACTGTCCAACCCATCTACACTTTCTCCTGCATATTTGTTGGTTGGTGATTGGTTCTTGTTTTGTTTGTTAGTGCCCATAGTTTCTTGTTGGTGATTCTGTCCGGCCCGACCCTCTGATCTTCAGTATAGATCCAGCGAAGACAGTTAGTTGTTGATAAAGGTATGCAACAGGCTGTTGGAAATATTCGTTGTGACCCGCCCACCCGCCAAGTTTCTCATCCGTATTGAAGAACTGACTGGCTTGACGTTGTTTGTATTGAAAATCCGACTGAATTTTGTTGTTGATGCCGGCTGAGTGACGAAGATTTCCCGATTGGTTTCAGGTTGATGAATGTGTTTCTCGCTCGCCTTCCCGATTGTTGCTCGATTTGACATCCTCGTCCGTTCTGACAGCCTGTAGTTGAGACAAGGCTCAATGCTAAATAAGTGAGTGAATGAAGTGATTTCTTTCAAATCCCTCCCGTTGATGATGATTGGCGCTGGATGTTGCTGTTGTTGTTGCTGTTGTTGGTTGGTTATTTTCATAACCTCCGTCTTGTTTATTTTCACTTGGAGTCCTGTCTTCGCCGGTTGCTTCCTCGACCAGTTTGTCGGTTTTCGCTTGTAAGTCTTCGATTTTGTGACAGTGACATCAAAAATACATCATTCACTCGCGAAATCCAGTTCTTTTAGGTTTTTCACGTCGGTCGGTCCAGTATATTCCTGACTTCTCGTTTCCCACTCACTGTCTGACGCATAAACCAGTCAGTCCACCACAATTAGGAATATCATCGTGGGTAATAATAAGCATCCTTGTCTGACTCCTGTGTTTATGCCAAACGCCTCGCTGAGTTTTCCGTTGTGGATCACCTAACATATGCCGTTGTCAAACACCTGTTGGGTCATGGGAGTTATTAAGAAGACAGTTGCAGCGAAGAAAATTTTTTTTTCGACGAAATAATCATCTAGGCTGTACATTCGTGTATTTACATCAAATGGATGGGAAAGTTCCAGAATGATTTCCGGTTAAGGGTCAAATTAATAAAAATTACAATTAAGAATTAGAATGCCATAATAAACAGGGGGACGGATAAAACAAACAAAGTAGCATCATAATAACTAAGAAGATTGACATTGTGCAATCAGGGCTTAGAAATGTAGAAATAACAAAATAGACAGGATGTTTGAATAAAAAAAACTGATGTGATGAATAATTGTTTATACAATCAGGGATTAAATATGTAGAAATAGTAAAATGACAAAATAAACACGAAGTTCGGGTATGAAAATATGGTAGTGTAAACAGGGATTAAGAAAAACTTAAAAAAATAACATGAATAAACAGGAAGTCAAGATAAGAAAGCCGATGGGATGGTCATTACTAAAAAACTATTTACCTGTTTATGATGGTTATGTAGGGACAGAAGTTGGACGTATCTCTTTTGGATACAAAGCGTGAGTTTGAGTTTTTGGATAGCTAGCGCCTCGGCTATGCCCAGTTGTCTTGATTTCACTCTCTTTGATAGGTTTGATTGAATCTTGTATATTACTTTGAAGGATTTTTCGAAAGGCGCTGAATGTCCTGAATTGACCAGATGTTCTGTCACTGAATTGTATACACACGCTTTTCGTCTCCTTTTACTAATCAGGCTGGGTAGTGTTCACGAGTGCATTTTTTCAAGTCGGCGCTTGGTACGCATGTATCGCATGTGGCGCATGTATCCATAATAGTGAATGAATTAGTTCCATTATGTGTAAGATTTGCTTTGATAAAGTCTTATGGTGTTTTACAGTAATGTTTACTGTTTGTCAAAAGAAATTATAGCTGTAATGGAATTATACTCTACCACAGAGCACAAGTGTTATTCTTATATGGAAGAATTAGTGTTATTAACAACATTAATGCTCTTTAAACAACATTCGATACCATCAACATAACAACATACTGAATATCCGAAAAAATAAGAAAAATATTTTTATAATACTTATTCACGAGTTTTCTAGTCTCCACTGAAGACCAGGGCAGTAGTAGTGGCTGGTTTTGCATCTTTTGGACACAAAGCGAATCGCTATAACCTCCGCTGTTTGGAGTATGCGGTACCCTGATGTTTTTGACAACTTATTTAGTACCCGGTGGATGATTCTTCAATGGTGGTTTTGTTACCGGCCAGTTTGGACCAGGTGGTCTAATATCGAACTGTTGACGGTTTTCACTACACCTTTACTTAGCTATACTGGGAGATATTCTCAAGTGAGCACGAAAATATCAAGTTGGACGGGTTGAACGAACTTTTTCTGTACACAGAGATCTGGTTTTTCTGTTTCGATAGCCAAGGCTCCAGCAATACAGATGAGTCGGGTACGTAGGGGTTTGGGTAAATTACTCTATGCCTTGTAGATGACTTTAAAGGCGGAGGCTATAGAGATAGGGTGGTCATTATCGACCAGATGTTCAATGATCGCGCTTCTTATTGCTCCGATCATATTTTAACTCTACCAATTTTTCATTTTGTGTATGCAGTTTGTATTCTCTTCCTTTATTACGTCAATTGGTCTAAGCCACGTAGAAAGGTGTAGACTTCCAGGCTGGGGTCCTCGGGACGGTAAAAATCTATGGTTGGAAACAATTGGTGACATGGCTCAAAATCGTTCTCAGTGGCTGGTGCAGATGCATCCACTCCCTGTGACTTATGATCTCCAATGAAACTGTTTTGTTCTTCGTTATTACTCCTTTGTCTCACACCTCTGCTCACTGTTTCTATTATGCTTTTCTTGTACTTTCTTCTCTTGCTTCGCGTGCTACACGGAATGTGGCGACTTGAACTTCCGCACATTTGTGCTAAGTTCTATGTCGAAAACAGACAGACAGACAGTTAGTTTTACTATTCTCACTTTGAACTGTCCCCGGTATTACTTCACTTCTTCCACTTGTCATTCTAAATCAATTCTTCTGTTTTACAACGATAAATTCTATGCTATTAAATTTCACACAATATTACGTAACGTTTTTATTTTACTCGATTTGTCTACTAATCCTATAATTGCACACCCCCTTCCAAGTTCTATCCATCCTATGAATTATTTTATATATGACATTAATTTGCTTTGCCACTTGACATTTAACTATGATTACAAACATTTTAGTTTTAATTGAACTTCATATGATTATTATTATTATTATTTTATGCATTCACACCTAAGATTCAATTCCCTCACCGGATATAACTTCTTAAAAACCATATATATATACGACTGTACAGCTTGATGATAAATTCGTTGTTGAAAAGAGTCTCTTCGCTAAATTACTTGTTTTGATTTTCTTTATGTTACAATCGGAATTTTCCATGAGTTAAAAAATATAGTTACGACTGTGCAGCTAATTAACATGAATCGTGGAAAAGAAAATTTTCTTCGCTGTTTGTGCTATATATATATATATATATATATATATATATATATATATATATATATATATATATATATATATATATATATATATATATATATATGGCTGAAAGAATAAATTTAAGCACAATATTATTTTTATATAACTTACCCATTTTTTGATTAAACGACTTCGGTTTTTTTGTCCATGCACAGCCAACTATGTAAACTGGTATACCAGTTAGAATGATTAATACACCATATACTAAAAATTGGGAAAAACAATTATAAATGTAAGCATACTTGATTTCAATCAGTAGTACTATTCAATAAATAAATAAAAGAAACTTGAAGAGATTCATGTGTGAATTAACAAAAGTCGAAAAGTCTTCATTAATATAAGGATAAAACGTTGCAATGACTGTGGGTTACCTCATCCTGTATAAGTCACACTAGTAGATCGATGGTAATCAGATTAGTAGAGAATAAGAATTAAGCTAAGTGTAGGATGGTTGACGGAATAAACAAATCAACTGGCAGCCTGTTTAAAACTTGACCTACCGAAAACCTGAATGATTGCATATTGCATATAATTCCCCTTGTTCAATTTGTTTAAATCTAATATTAGTTACTCTGTCTGTCTGTCTGTTTCCGACATAGAAATTTGCACATATGTGCGGCCCCACCGATAACTGCTACCTTGTCGTGGTGGTCGGGATTGAATATCGTAATGACCCAACATGCTAAACTGACTGGGACTCTGTCCCTGCAGGTCCTACCATGTCAGGAAGGTTGTTTGGATAGCGGTTAAACTAAAAGCAGTTACCACCATGGGGTACATGGGCTCCAGTATCCAATCGAATCAAATGGCGTATGAACCCATATGGGTCACCGTAAACCATGGGTGTGCAGCTCCTGACGTTACTCCCCACTGCCTTGCAGATAAGACTCCAAGTCAAAGGTTCGGGGGATGGTCCCTTAATAAAACCACCTGCTTCGGTCTGGGCGCCCGGCCAGTATATCTCAGCCCTCACACAATGAATTGAATAAAGCAAACAAACAATCAATGAAACTTATGGTGTGCTATTACACGTGTTGCAATTTCCTTCTTTCTTCCCTTCCCGATAATAGTTAACGAATACTGTTTGGACTTGTTAAGCATGACTGTTTTCCTTCCAGATGAAGTTCTTTATCCATCCTCTACTTATATATTTTTTTCTCTTCTTTCTTTTTTTCTTTTGATCTATGTTGTTTTATTATTACTGTGTGGCGCATCCTTCTTGGTGCCATATTGTACCAAGTTTTTATGTGTTTAAATAAATAATTAAATATAAATAAACATATGTGCGGCAGTTCAAGTCGCCACACTCCCCCCAAGTACCACACAAAGCAACAGAAGAAAGTAGAAGAAATCCATACTAGAGAAAGTAAACAGAGGTGTGAGACAAAGGAATATCAATAACGAAGAACAAAACAGTTTCATTGGAATTCATAAATCACAAGGAGTGAATGTATCTGCGCCAGCCATTGAGAACGATTTTTAGCCATATCATCAATTGTTTCCAGTCTCCATTGGTTTTTACTGTCCCAAGGACCTCAAACAGCCAGGAAGTCTACACCTTCCTACGTGGCTTAGACTAGCTGTTGTAGATTTCATTGACTGATGAAGCCATGTTTTGGTTTGACCTCCGCTAGCTCTTTTCCACCCTGACCCTATGTCAGCTAACATTGCTCATCGAGGAAGACGATGACTAGGCGAGGCATATGTTACACATGTCCTAACCATCTCAGTCGATGTAGCTTCACAGCCTCGTCGATTGATTTCCCCCTCCTTACCTAGAACTCGACCGGTGCCTAACCTCAATATTGCTCACCTTATCATAACACTTCACACGCGGGCAGTTATGATCAAAGACAGCCAATTTTTTCATTAGTTACTCTGACGAGTATTCAAAGTATTTACAACCTGCTGATTTTCATGCTTCTGAAAAATATGAGAAAAAGTGTTATGTTGAATGGCAGCTTATCCCAGTACATGAAACGACTGTTCCTGGGTTGTTTTCTCCGGTTCATAATATGTACTCCCAAGCTTTTTATAACTGGCGTCGACGGCATAGCGGTTAGGACGCTCTCCAACCATGCTCGTGGTCCGGGGTTCGATTACCGGCCACCGACGCACTCCTCTACCTCGCTAAGCCAGAAATAATGCTGGTAAAGAGGAAAGGTTTGGCATGAGGCTAGCAACCCCATCCTTTAAAATAAAACACTGCTACAGAAACTTCAAGCAACTAGCAAACTAGCTTGAAGCCCTATGTTCCACTGGAGAACGTGTAGGAAAAAAAATTCAACTAAATTTCATTGTGTATTTCTCAAAGGAGATAAAGAAGAGATTTTTTTTGAAGATCCTGGAGGGAGAGGAAATATCATGCAATAAACTCCGGTGAAAATCCTGTACCCTATACATAAACACGATTCGGAATAAAGTCGGTATTATCTCATTAAGATGAGTAGCATTAATACACAATGATACAATAGGGTAGAACAGAGACACACATCAGAGAGGCTATATAGTTAAATGGAGGGAGAAGCTGATTACCGAACCTTTTTCATCGAATCCCACGCCTAACAGATACAACAGGAACGACTCATCACTAATACCAGAGATATCAAACATATTATCACCAATTAAGTAACTGGATAAGAAATAATGGAAGTGTATAAACGAAGTTGGAAAGTTTTGTCACCGACCACCTTGATACGCTTATCGGCAGTAAATTGCACTCAGAACCTCATCAGTAAATAAATTGAACTGTAACTTGAAAATGCCTCATAGTATAATCAGAAAAAGATGGTATTAAGAGAACATTTTCTTTTTCGATAAATTCTTCCTCGGGCTTTACAGTTACAGATCCATGAATCCATTAGAATAAAAATAGTCAGTATATGGATAGAATGACTGTTTGTTAATTAATATTGTCTACTGAATAGATATTATAAAATGTACAATCATTCAAAACATAAGATAAAATATGAGAAAGAGAAGTTATCGAAAACAATGGTTGTCTCAAATAATACAGTGTCAAAAAAAACTGATTCTACGATGGAATTTAAAAGTTCCGCTTTGTAATAACCACAAAATAGGCCTAAATAAGGTTCATTTGACTGACAGACAGACAGACTCTAATGACTTTAACCAAACAAAAGTGGTGCCGCAGATGATACACATTCCAATAATCCATCTAGATTAAACCGCTACAGTGTATCACTTTTAAACTGTGTTTAGTCCTATGTGAATTGCAGTAGTACTGGAGTGACCAGTTGCCTATTATCAAGTGAGTGAGTGAGTGAGTATGCAGCAGTAATTCCTTTTACAACCTAAAAGAATTCATTTCAACAAGCCTCAAGGGGAATTAGCATGCAATGTCTGAACTTTGCACCGATGTACAGCACTTCGATTCGCCACACCTCATTCAGCACACAAAGCAAGAGAGGAAATACAAAATAGTAACAGTAAACAAAGATATGAGGCAAAAATAATAGTAATATCAAAGAAGGATATAGTTTTATTGAAAATTATAAGTCACAAGGAGTGGATTCGTCTGCGCCAGACATTAAGAACGATTTTGAGACATATCAACGATTGTCTCCAGCCATTGGTGTACATGATCCGGAGGACCCCAACCCGGAAGCTTACACTTTCCTACGTGACTTAAATTAACTGTTTTAGATCTCATTTACTGATGAAGCCATGTTTTGGTTTGACCACCACTGCCTTTTTCCAACACGACCTCTCCTGAACGATCTAATCACAATATTTGATACTTATTTGAATGTGAATTGGTGGATGGTGACTTGCACTGGAATCCAGGACAACGCACATTTCGTCCTATTTGGGACTCGTCGTCTGGATTTACCTGAATTTTTCAGTGAGTGATGATGTTCCCCACCGAGGCTCGAACCCGGTGCCCATAGTTTTAAACGCTAAAACGTTATCCACTAGACCACTTGGGCCACGAGAGCCACCTCTTGTGCAACGAGTCATATTATTTTTAATTGAATTTTAGATTTTCCCGTCGACTCATTGAACGGAGGTCCTCACTGGGAAATGCAGGTACATCGAGCCGACGAGTCTCAAATAGGATGCAATACGCATCTTGGATTCCAATGCCAGTCACGATCTACTGATTAAATTCGAATAAAATACCCAGACATCGTCGAAGCATCTGCATTAGAAGCCGACATGTCAACCAGAGACCGAGCACTTCGGTCTAATCAATCGACGGGGAAATCCAAAACTTAATTAAAAACTTATTCGGATGTTTTAACTAACTTTGTAATTGTTATCCCCCTCTTATGTAAAGTGTTTATCAATGCCTCGACATTTGCATATTACATTTGATCCTATCCTTATTATTCGTCTTTGTCCTCGTTTAATCCCTATTATGGATACTTCTCTTTGTGGTTGCGTGGTACGCTGTGCGCCGGTGGCACAGTGGTTAGGACTCTCACCGACCATGCACATGGTCTGAGATTCAATCCCCTACCGACGCACACCTGATATCTATGTTCGGCCTGTAAAATTTGGTCTACCGATATCCATGCTGAAAATTCCATACTTGTACCAAAAATACAATGTGGAATCAAGCTGTAATCAAAAACAAAAAAATAATTTTCTGTTGTTTTACGATGAGAATTTGTTCGAGTGATTGAAGGTCATTCTGACCTTGGACCCTCCATGGGAATACTCAACTTGATTCTTATTTCCCGTCCTTTAATAAGAACCAATCTAGACTGTATAGCTACCTAACAGCACTGTCGTGGTCATCCTGTTTTTGACGTGTGATTATTGTTGAAATAGAAACACAGATTTTAAGGCGAATAACAGACCTTTTGCTGTCCTTAGAGCGTTTCTCAAATGTGCATAACTCAAAGGAGCTTCAATCAACCATGCAGTAGGATGCAGATACCGAATTCAGACCACAACAAGTCAGTTTTGGTCGTCACAGAAGGTTCGGTGATAAACTTATGATTGTATTTTCAGTGGAAGTATGTCGATATCCTTGAATCCTTCATACAGATTTTATCAACACCCTTGTTTAATTTAGTCATCACTTCTTCAAAATAATAAGGGTAAACTATTAATTATAATTGTGACTGGGAGCGAAATCGCAGAGAGGTGGTCAGCCCATTATGTAGCGCCTTAGGATGAATAAATACTTGTGTTGGGTTGGCATTCAGCGGTGCGTCAAAACACTCTGGGTGGAGTCTGAGAGATAATTCGGACCAGTGGCTGCAGATACCATCACATATAGAAAAGAATCGTAATCAACGGTAAACACTCTGCAAATTCCTTCTTTCTGCCTTTTCTGAAAGCAACATGAAGGCTTAATTGCTCAATGAATGATATCCCTATTTTCCTCATTAATTTTTGTTTCATTCAAGCCTTACTTTGCGGGGATTTCATTGGTTACAGGATTTCATCATGAGTTGACACTGATCAGAGGATCATCTAAAACCGGCAAAAAGTACTGAGTAGCTGGTTCACCCTAGTTTTGGACTCTTTATCAGTACGCGACCACTGTCACGGTTCAAAACCACGACCTCCTGACAACAAGGTGAGGTTGTAGACCATTCAGCTACCGGATTTCGATTCAAAGGCCAGTTCATGAACTTCAATTTCTATCAATTCACAACATAGCATGACCACTAACCAACCTATTTGTCCTCACATCCGACCTGCTGTACTCCACTGGTCATGAATTTCCATTAGAACCCTGTCTGATTGTGATTCAATTGTAGTTTACTTGAGAGGCTTTCATGGCCTCACTAGGCAACATCTTCAATGCATACTTCGACCTGAAGTGAGGTTTTATAGTTCTCCAAGAGTTTATCAGCATAATTGGTAGAATTTGCTAACAGAGGCAACCAATCGCATTTAAGATCATCAGGAGAGATGATTAATTAACTCGTGGAAAAATTTAAAGCCTCACTTCAGATTGAAGCATGCGCTTAAGATGTCGCCTAGTAATTCGTCCAGCACAGAGAACACCACTACACCAAAATCATCTAAGTTATAAGTCTTCTCCATAATATCTAAACCATCTACGTGAATAGGACTAGTTGGTAGTGAGCGTCAGCAAAAGTTGGAATTCATAGACTTGCCATTTGAGCTGATCTCAGTAACTGAATGGTCTGCGAACTCTGCTGGTAGAGTTAATGCCCTAGGTGCATACTAGTGAAAAAGTCAATACTAGGCTGATGAATTGGTTGTCTAGTATTCCTTTCTGGCTTCCAATAGTTCTCTAACAAATGTCAACTCAAGTCGTTATATTATTTTTTCTGGTGGAGCACCTCCTAGTGACTACAATGTACCGCAGTTTGCGTTTTAATAATCCTAACAATCATGATTTTAACTTACATGACTCTTGAGGTGATCCAACAAAAGCGAAAATGATCAAAAACAGAGTAACTAGTACGTAGATATAGGCAAATACTATTGGCGCCTGTAAAGTAAAAAATAAACACATAAAAGTAAATAATTACTAAAATTTACATTTAATGTTTAAAATGAAAAATTCCACGACATACAAAATCGTGAATTAGCAGAAATTGGAATTATTGAGCTGAACTGAATTCCAACTCAGTGGATGAATTGTCAAAGCAAGTTGTTCTTGTAACCTAAAGGTTCTTATTTTCAAGAATTTCTTTGTAGAGATCGGATTTGTTTCAGTTTTGATCACAGATTGATATAAGCTGGAGAACCATTGAAAACAAACAAGCAGTAGGCGTCCGTGGCTGATAAACGTAGCATTAGTCTCTGATGTCAATGGGTGTTATTTTCAGCCATGTAGAGAAGCGTAGACCACCTACCTAGCTGGGATCTTCAAGGCAAACATTTCATGATATTAAATGGTTGAATGCAATCGGCTAGATGACTTCAACCTACGCTTCGTGAGAGTTGGCACACTAACTAGTCAACAAGGAGTAGCTGCAGTCTCTAAGGAACTCATGTCCCTTCTGAGATTCAAACCCGCGTCAACCAGTGAGTGCTGTAGTCAGAGACGTTACCACTGAGCTATTCTGGCTCGCGACTGATCTCATGCAGGACAGTATTGGGTACTTTGATCGAACTTTAATTAACCGATGTCATGTGTCTCTAGCCCTTTGTTTGGTGCAGACTGAATTCGATCCGTCAAGCTTGCAATGTGGCCACCATCAAGCTAGGTAGCTCGGAAACATGGTGTACAATGATTTGATGATACTGGATTATAGCGAGCTGCCTAGAGTGGTAACCACATTGCAAACCTGACTGAGAGACTTCAGTCTGCACCAGAGAAGGGACTTCGAAATGGAATCACTTTCACTGCAGTGTATTCAAAGAATAATCACAAATGTTATCATCATAAAATAAATCATAATAGTAATAATAATGTAATACTTACTTTAACTGGACGTGGAACTTTAGGACGTGTAAATCTAAAGATTATTACAATGAGAACGCATAGACCAATAGCTAACCATTGAACAAATCCCATATAATTGATTAAAGCGAATATATCTCCAGAGAGTAGATAAACTAAAGACATTATACACTGAAACGAAAGAATTAGAATGATAATTAGAATAGTGAAGCATAATTAATAATAATAATAACATGAAAATGTAGAATTATATCAGTTATTCCATGTTTTATTCCTTTGCTTTCCGAGTGTAACACAAGACTTCAGACTAGAGCTTTGAAGTTCCAATAACCGCGGTATTTATTTCTTACGGATTGAAGTAGCTAGCCTCATGGTCCGTCGGTGGCAAAGAGGTAGAATGCTCGCTAACCACGTGGGAAGCCCGCGGTTAGACCCCGGACCACCGACGCACTCATTTACCTCGTTAAGGCAATAATAAGACTGGTGAAGAGGGAAGGTTGGGCAAGAGGCCAACAACCCCATCCTGTAAAAATTAACACCACTGTTCCACCGGAAGCCTAAAGCAATAAAAAATGCTAGCCGTATACCCAACTTTCCCTCTTTACTGGGCTTACTACTACTGGCAAAGCTGAATTTAAGAACGCATCCGCAGGGGATCGAACCCGGGACCGTGTGTGGGCTGTTATTGGTGAATATTCTATTAGTGGAACACCTCAGGGGCCCAACGGGGTACGAACTCAGGGCCACTCGCAATTGGTTAATAATGGCTGCCAGTGGAATTTCTGAGGTGGATTTCGTCTTGTCTTAGGGCTCTCCATCTAATGGACGTCCCTGCTTCCTTCAATTGGTGAAAAAGTTAACTCACTAACAGGAGAAATCATCAATTCTCGATGTATAAAGATTTAGATTAACACAATTTTAAATTGATTAAGCACTGCCATAATAAATTTTGAAAAAAGCTTTTCAGTAAACAAAGAATATTCATTTTGATAACCTCTTCTTCTTCATCGAGTTCTAGAGTTATATAATCTTAATAGGTAAAGAACTATTGTTATTAATAACGTCAGGTAACTATGATGAATACGTTTCAGTTCAAAAGCACCTCTTAGTTATAATATACAGCCAATATAACACCAAAAACTGAATATCAGATAAATTGAGAAACAGAATAATGGATTTATGAATTGATAGATGACTCAGAAGGCAAAGGTAGTTATGATGGCTGGATCTATTTTATTCTGCCCACTGAGTTCCGGTTGTTTTAAGCGAATAGTAATAATCTCTTCTGTTTAGAATATTTGATATCTACAGGCAAGTGGAAAATTATTTGATACCCGATAGATGATAGAAAGAGATTATTCACTGCCAGCACTATGGCCCCTTTTTACTAGGTGGTCTATTATCGAAATGTCAATAGTTTGTACTACACTTTTGTTTAGCTATACACTGATAGGAGGTACGAAAAAACTATGTTTCAAGACCAGTGGTCAGTATAAATAACTCCACAGGAATATTTTCCGCTGACTAATCAGATAGTTGTGAATGATAATAAACAGATCTATTAACATTTTGATACTAAGTGATGTAAATGTGACTGATTGTCTTATGCAATTGACTTTCACTCAACAAATCCTCGGTTCGAATCCCATTCAATGTGTTTTAGCATTGCTGATTGGGTAGTGTTGTTAGGCTATATAATTGTGGCTCATAGGCTGACTCACATCAAAAGACTATCTCATATAAGTGAGTCCTGTTGTCAGGGTTTAAGACTCTCCCTAATTGTGGTTGATATACACAAAGAAATAGACAGGAGGATGTAAAATGTACAGCCATATAACACTAACTAGTTAGAGGTGCCGAAATCAGTTAGAGAACCATTGAAAACAAACAGGGAATACTGGATGGTTTTTAGTCACAGTTTTGGACTCTTCAGCAGTACGCACATGCCATCAGGTTCGAACGCAGAGCCTTCTACCTGGGTAGATCATTAAGCCACTGTGACAATGATTCAATGGTCAGTCCACGAATTCCAACTTCTGCCAATTCACAACATAGGGCGTGACCACTAGCCAGTGTCAACGCAGATGAGTATTTGTCCACACACCTGTCCTGCTGTATCCTACTGGTCATGTCTTATCAGTAGAACCGAGGTAATTTCCTACCCGAATAGAGTCAGTCACTAGTGAGCATAAGATGAGTATTTAAGTGTCAGAGTTAGACAGATAATCATTACTCCATAATTTTGGAAAGTGACTACAAAATGTGCCGAACAACGAAATCAGTCCAAATGAAATCCACAATACTTTAGTAATTAGGGTGCTTTATTTATATAGCGAATAAATAACGGTTCATATGGTATTTGCCAACTTTCGCCATATGTGGCATAGACTCAATGTGAATCTGCTGATCAAAGGACCTATGCACCTTGTGGTATTTAGCTTCTGTCCTTCTTTATAGCTGCTAGATACGGCTGTTGAAAGTGATAGATAAGAAGTGATTATATGTGTTTCATCATAGGTGTTTGCCTTCTATATCTCGTGTTATATGTTATGATATAGTTAATAATACTGAGGCTAGGTGAACAGTGTTCAGGTAGGGAAAGGAAACGCGATCTACGAGGCTATGAAGTTACATTAATTAGGATGACTGGGACACATGTGTTGTACATGCTAAAACCATCGCCTTCTTCGACGAGTTTATTAGCTGACATAAGATTAGGGTGGAAAAGAGTTAGGTGTTGTGAGACTAAACCATGGCATCAATCCACGACTACTCTGACCACAGGTTTCAGACAAACAGGAAGGTGTAGTCTGTTTAGCTTTTATTTCTCACTGCACTCTCAGATCAGTCATGGATTCATATTGTGGTGAGATCTGGCTGCTAGCCAAATTGCTAGACAGTAATTTACGTCAATGTTTACGTCCTCAATATTGGTCGTGAGGAAAATAAAAACTAAGATGGATTCAACAACTGATCACAGCATACTTTGAGTAGGTGGATACAGTCAGCATTTAGATGACCTGACATTCAAGAAGCAGTCACATGAGATAAAAGATTAACTTTCAGCGAGAAACAGCCACCAATCAGAAGACTGTGTTTTACTGATAACAATAATCTATGATAATATACATGAAAATCTATAAATATGTGTTGATTTCCTTAAATAAACGATCTGTTGTCTGACCCTTGTCTTCTGTCGTTACAGTATTAGTTAGACGACCATTGAAAATCAAGTTTTGAATACTGGACCACTGTTTCGTCCTAGTTCAGGATTCTTCAACAATACTCAAAGCAGCTATGACTCCACAAAGAATCGAAGCTAAGATCTTCAGGTTACGAAAAGAGTCCACATATTATTCAACCACTGGCAGAGAATCTAGTGCTCCATGAATTCGAACTTATTTAAGTAGTATATTATGTTATATTATATCATAAATATACTTTTTTACTTACAGTGAATATAACTGCTGGAATTGGTGTCAATCGACTAGCGTGTAAATAACTGAAGAAGCCTGGCATTTGATTAACTTGACTAGCAACAAAAAATATTCTTGATGTAGTCAACACAGTTCCGTTGGCACCGCCGAATGTTGAACAAGCCACAAATATTGGCATTATCCACCACATTACACCGTAGATTCTTACTGCAAATGTCTGTAATAAAAAAGTAAAAGGTAAGGTAGTAAATATTATGCAGTCACACTTATTCTTTTCTAAATAACACTTAATAAGTAGAAAAGTGAAAATAAGTAGCTGAAACAAAACGATATTGTTCTTACTGACGTTTCGCTATTTAATGCCGACAGCTTTATCACAGTAGTAATATTAAACCGGACTTCACAAAATCTCAGCTCATATCTGACAGCTTACTCATCGTTTCTCACCATGGGGTCATTTTTCCGTGGTCAAATTGACCGATCGGTAAAGATAACAAAACCATATGTAGACTGTTAGATTTGATAAATGCGTAAAATTGTAAAAGCAGCATATGTTTACTTAATAAAACTGCCTGTCACATTGGTATTGTTTTTTTCACTTCATGGGGGAGGGCGGTGTTGTAACCAGGTCAAATTCTGTCTTAGTCCATCATTCCTATTCAGATAATTTGGATTCCACTTGATATGAAGCGCTTCTGATATTAGATTTTCTTTGTGATTTCTTAAATTTTTCTGGATGTTAATTTCAGTATTGTCAAAATCAATTTTGTAGCCTGATTCTATAGCGTGTAGACAAAACTTTGGCTGGCTGATGATTTTTCAAGCTATTCTAGTTCAACTGGATTTCTCAGTGGTCGAACAGATGCGACTCCATGGTGTTCATTTCTTCTGATTTTGATTTCTCGAGATGTTTGTCTGATGTATATCGCATCACTTTCCAAGCGTTTTATTTTATAGACACAATTAGATAGAGAATCAATCTTTAGGTATTTGGTCTTTCATATGGACAAGGTTGTTTTGCAGCGTGTCTGGTGTTTTAAAGAAAACTCTGATGTCGAGCTGATTGAGTGCTTTTCTGACAACTGTTGAGGTCCATGTTTTCGGAATAGGATGAGTTACTGAAACTTTGAAACATAATTCGTTTAGGCAGATTAGATATTAAAGTTTATACAGGGTGGGCTCAGATGATGTAATGGTCACCGATACTGTTTTCTCAGAAATGCACAACACTCCCACTTCCTGTTCAACCTCCTTAAAAAAATATACCAATGAATGCGACGTTATTCCACTTCGATTTACTTTTGAACTCATTTGATGTGTAAATTCATTGGAATTAGCTTCAGTTTCACTTTTAATCGACTGAAATTCTCGGTATCATAGAACGGAGGTTTCTACAGTGTCTTCAGGTTAACTTCACGTTACTTATTTCATGGAATCCAGGAGGTGCATTTCTTCCTATTTGAGATTCGTCAAAGAGATATAAGTCAATCCCATGAGTGACTTTATTATTTTTTTGAGTATAGCTTGATTCCACACAGTATTTTTGGTACAAGTGTGGAGTTTTCAGCATGTGATACCGGTAGCACATATTTCGCAGGCCGACCACTTGATATCAGGTGTTCATCGGCAGAGGGTCGAACGCCTGACCATGTGCATGGTCGTTGAGAGTCCTAATTGCTGTGCCACCAACACATATACCCGCTAACTGTAGCGTCTCAATCCGTCGCTATGGTATTTTGATGGAAAGTTATGTTTTTCGCATGCTTTTCAAATGAAATTTCGCGTTAGAAATTTTTTCTGGCCTAAAATTCTTTAACTGCTGCACATTTACCAGGAAAGTTGCTTGATATTGATATCTGCGAGTTGTTGAAATTAGGTGGTTGGAGGCATTCAACAGGAAGCCTTCAACCTACGTTTTATGTGAGCTGACATTCACCAATCACCAAGGTGTATCTGCAAGCACTGAAGAAACTAATGTCTCTTATCACATTCAAACCAGCCTCAACACCCACTGCTACATTCAGAAACGTTACCACTCAACTAACAAGCAAGCTAGCTATTCTGGCTCACAACTGACCTCCTGTAGAACTAACTGTATTGGACACTTTGATTGGACTCTGGTAAGCAACTAGTGTGGTGTGTCTAGTCCTTTGTCTATCAGTCAAGTTTGTAATGTAGTCACCATGCTAGGTGGTTCACCTTACCGACTGGTGAGTGCCAACTGGCATGAAACCTGGGTTGAAGTCTTCCCACTGATTACCTGCAACCGTTTCATATCAACAATTCATAGTGCAGTGGATCGTGATGGCAGGTCACCTAGTGGCATGGTGGCCACATTGCAAACTTGACTGACAGAATTCAGTCTGCACCGAACATAAGATTACATACATAACACTAGTTACTAGGTAGTGTTCAATCAAAGTACTGATATCTGCGCAATGTAATCGATTAAAAGATGGAGTGAGTTCAAATGTTAAACGTATATCAGGGAATTTTCATGTGCATTGGTGGCACAGTGGTTAGGACTCTCGCTGACCATGCACATATTCCGAGGTTCGATCCCCTGCCGACGCATACCTGATATCTATGGTTGGCCTGCAAAATTTGGTCTACCGATATCCATGCTGAAAATTCCATACTTGTACCAAAAATACAGTGTGGAATCAAGCTGTAATTAAAAATAAAAATAAATAAAAAATCATGTTGTCATATTTTGGCCTATTTACTGAAACATCCTGATATCCACTGGATATAGGTGATGCCAGTTCAGAAAAGGGGATATGGCAGCATTCTACTGAGTAATGGTATTCCTACTGAGATTCCTTCCTGACATCCACTGTTTCAAACACCTAAGCGTTATCTATTGTTAAGTATGAAATCAATTGAATAAAATGTGTTATCTAAATGCCTATTAGTCAGCTGATAATATAAAGACAAGGTCTTTCTAAAATTCACAAGGCCATTTAGCCAACTAAGAAAAGTTTGAAAAACTTCCTTGTTAAGTAATTTGGTGGATGATGACTAACAGTAGAATCCATGATGTACATCTCGTCCACTTTGAAACTCATCATCTGGATGCATCTGCCTTCTCCTGTGGGTAATGTCGTTCCTTGCAATGTGACTCGAATGCAGTACCCATTGTCTTAAACCCCAGCTGGATATCCACTAGACGACCTGGGTCACAGCAGCCACCTCTTGTGGAGGAGATATCAATAATTATCCAATTCAATTTGGACTTTTCCGTTGACTGAGTGTACAAGAGGTAGCTGTCGTGACCCAAGTGGTCCAGTGGATAACGCTTTGGAGTTTAGGACGATGAGTACTTGGTTCAAGCCTCAGTGCGGAGGACACCATTACTCACTGGGGAATGCAGGTAAATCCAGATGACGAGTCTCAAAGTGGATGAGATGCACATCATGGATTCCACTTCTAGGCATCATCCACTAATTTACTTTAACTTAAATAATCAGATATCTTTGAAGCATCTACACAAAGAGCTGATATGTCAACCTGAGGCCTAACACTTCAGTCTGATGAATCATCAGAAAATTTTAATTTGAATCAAATGATACTCCCGCGTTAAAATGAATGTTAAATCTAGTTTTCCACAAAGTCAAAATATATACAATAAAATAATAATGATAAAATTAAAACCATTCAGAATAGACATCGCACACAAACCAACATTGATCACTTCATTCAACCCTATGCAAACCAAAAGATCCAAAAGCAGAAGAAGAAGAAGAGGACAAGATTAACCAATAGCATCTGCTAAATCAATTGCATGAATAGTGATAAGTATCTCCTTTGACTAAATGCAAGTTCAAGAGGATAAACTAACTTTCAAAAGACACGACGTGTATTCTTTCATATCAATGCATTTAGAAAACCATAGATATTAAATCCATTATAGATAAGATTTTATTTTGATAAATCGCACAGTGTTTACAGTTATATGAACTGATGACGTTTCGAGCACAAACTATTGCCACTCATATCATATCAAGTTACTCACACAACTTTGATCTGTCATTTATATACATATGTGGAATGGATTAGATATTGGATTAAAAATCAATGTGAGATAATGTACATTCAGAAATAATCGTACGAGTGTTGTTGATCAATTGCAATTAGATGGGAAAATTGGACGAGTGTTTTTACAGTCATAATAAGCTGCTTGTTAGAATGTGTTTGAATTGAAATAGAATTTTAAGATTATTTATTATCTTCTTCTGGTTTGACTGATGGCATTAATACGAGTGTTATTGATCTACTATAATCAGATGGAAGATACGACGAGTGTTTTAATAGTCATAATAAGTTTTTTGTTAGGATGTTGTGATGTGTTTGAATTGAAATAGAATTTTAATATTATTTATTACCCTCTTCTGATTTGACCTGCGGTAATAATATCTTCCATATCTCTGGTATTTGCATTGAGTCATTTTTGTTGCATGTGTTGGGTGTGGACTCGATAAATAAGGATTCCGTAATCAACCTCTCTCTCCACTTAGCTATATTACTTTTTAGAATTTTAACCCTATCCCACCCTATTGTGTGGTTGTTTGTTATTGCATGAAGTGCAATAGCTGAGCTTTTTTCTAAATTACTTATCTTTTTAGGGTCAACCATTCTTACCTTAGCTAAATTCTTATGTTCTGTTAATCTGACTATCCCTGACCTACTAGTTTGACCTATGTAGTTGACCTCACAGTTATTGCAGGGTATTTTGTAAATTATATTATTTTGTTTAATTGGATCCACCGGGTCTTTTAGCCTACAGAGCTTGTCTCTGAGTGAGTTTGTAGGTTTGAATGCCACCCTAATTCCTGCTTTATTAAGAATCCTACGTAGGGCCTCAGATGTGCCCTCTTTATATGGTATAACAGTGGATGACTTATATTCTTTCTTATTTGTGTTATCATTAATAGTTTCACCATTATTTTTATTTTGCTTTTGGTTTTTGGTGATCTTCCTAATGAATTTTATAGGATAGTTATTCAACACCAACGCTTCTTCTATCTGTTTTATTTCATCATTTAGGTCTTTTTTTGTGCTACTTAGTGCTATGGCTCGATTTGTTAGACACTTTACTAAGCCTGCCTTAACAGTTAACGGATGAGACGAATTAAAGTCTAAATATCTATTAGAATGCGTTGGTTTTCTATAAACACTAGTGTGTAGTTTGCCTTCTTCTATTCGTTTTATTTTACA